CTTGTTATGTCTGTGGTGGAAAAGGGAGCCATGTTGTGAACAAAGAGGCCACGATTCAGATTTAATCACACAGTATAGTAATTGTCTGAAGGATTTTGACACTTTACCACAAGATGTTGCCTGTGTTTTAACGATACTTCTTGTAAGAAAAAAAGAAAATACAATAAAACACTTAAAAATACCCACAACCACAAACCAGACACAAACAGCTGCTACAAAATCTGTCAAAAATCAACTGTGCTTGCAGCCCACGCAGGCACAGATGACATTTAAATACAGCCGGACTATCACTGGTAAGCTTGCATTCGTCAGCCCCAGAACATTCAGAAACGGTACAATAAATGATCTGAGAGGAAAACATGGGTAGCTTATCTGCACACAAATAGTGGAGATCATTATTTCAGCACTGACACATTGTTAAACCCAATTTCCATTGTCAGGACAAACTGCCAGGAGTGCACCTTTGTTCTAAGTATGTTGGTAAGGACATCCCACGTCCCCAGTTCAAAAGAATACTACATGCAATAGCAGAAATCCACCTTCTGCATCTCCATTTTCCATTTTAAATTCCGTTTCCCTGACAATTCTGCCCTGGCAAATCATTCATTGAGATCTTCCTTCATGATGTTGATGGGGAGAAATCGTCTTATGCCACATGCCTGTAACTTTGCACAGTCTTGAATTGGTGATTTCCATGTTGTCTGCTGTGCCTGTCATTGTTTTATCATTTTAAAGGTTTTAAAACTTGGAATGAAAGTCATTGCCAGTTAATTTGAGGGTCACAGCTGTAAAAGGAAAAGTTCAGTATTTTTAAGATGACAGCAAAAAAAATGGCATCAGTCTCATGTCAGTGTGTTAAATATGGAGATGGAGTTGGGTTTCGTCTAGCTTAGCATACAGACTGCTGGTACAGTGGCATCTACAAAAACCTGTGCACACTGCCAGTATCTGGCAACTTTGCTATAGTTATAGAAAATCTGCAGGACTGTCTGAAACACAAGGTGGATGAATAAACTTACAGTAAAGCAGAATTACTAATAAACTTTAGAACTGTTTGTAGGCACTTTAAAAATATGGCTACCAGTTTCTACTTCTAGTCTTCATGCTAAGGCGGGTTCAAGACGTCCTGATTCCCCCACTGTGCCCAAAGATGACAGTGCAGTCGTGCAACTTTCGCCACAAGGGGGATCTCACATACAGTCAACAGCCTTTCCAACACTCACAATGAAAAACCCTTAAAAAAAAAAAGAAAGGATCTGGATCAGCACCAAAATCTAATGAACTGTTCTGTGGGCCATACCCTACCTCTCCAAAAAATGTAATCAAAATCCATTTATTACTTTGTGAGTTATGCTGTGAACAATCCAACAAACAAATGCCAGTAAAAATATTAATATTACTCCGCCTTGAAGGTAATGAGCTTTTGGACAAACTGAAAAAGGACAGAGGGGAATGACATGGAAGGAGAGTTGATCAAAACAAATAAGAAAGACATGCCAAGTGACAGCCTGGAGTTCTGTTAATTTCCATTTATACACCAAAACT